TGCCACCATTTCAGCTGACTTTTTCTCAGAAATACTGTCACATAACATCCATATATTTCAGTGCTAGGTTGATGCTTACGCTACACCAGATCTCTAGCAGCACCTCTTTACTTATTTATTTTTATTTATTTATTTTTCATTTATTTTATTAACTGCACTTGTACTTGTTTCTTCTGGATGGTAAAGCACTGGCTCTTACTATCATAATGTGTCAGGTATTGTGCGATCATGTNTATAATGAGTAATCCCAACAACATATATATCAAACTGAACTTTAGATGAGAATTTACCCAACGCTGGACTATTACAATGTACTACTTTAAGGGTGCGGCATATAATATAAAACCAGCATTTCAGTTAAAGGTCCCCTATCATACTGTTTTTCATCAATATATTACAGGTCTCAGATATATACAAAACATGTCTCTGAAGTGTTTGGCTCCAAATACCAAACAGATCATTGAAGCATTACCCATAATCCCCTCTGTTTCAGCCCTGTTTCCAAAGTGCTGATTCTCTGTCTGTTACTTTAGATGAAAATAAGGAGCCCCTCCCCACGCCCCTCTGAGAGGTATTGGTTACAAAGAACTCAGTGGTGCTCTAGGAGGAGATTCAGGTGATACGGTGGTGGGGGGGTTACCTTGGTTGGTGATTGGCTAATGGTTACACAAGCTATTTTGCATAATAGGTGACCTTTAAGGGTGGGGGGGGTATAACAATGGCCGCAGCCTCTTCTCATCCTGGGGTTACTTGTTTTGTCTCTACTTCGGTTTGGGATCAGGATCAGTATTTGCCAGAGCTTTTTTTCACAAGCTGGTGAGCTGCTAGTCCTGTATGCTTGTGAATCAAAGATTTAGGAGGCATAAGGTTCAGGTACAGGGATGGGGGTTAGTATGGGGGTTGGTGTAAGTAAAAAAGACTGCAGTTGGGTTAATGCATGTGAAGGGATGTTGTTATGATTAAGGGCAAGGGTCGGGGTCGGGGGGGTTAACTAAAGGGGCAGGACTGGGAATTGTGAGCCTTTGAGCCTCAAATAGGATAAATACAGGTCACCAGGTGGAGGGTAAGGGTTGGGGGTGTTGTGGTGGTTAAGGTTAGGGGAAGTCTCTGGGGAATGTATTATGTCAATGGTGGTCCTCACTAGTATAGAAAGACAACAACGTGTGTGTCCATGTGTTTCTTTCTGGCATAAAGGCAGTTAAGGTGACACACACATTCATATCTGCAGTGTTACATTTCTGAGAAACGGTAAAGAGCATCCCAATGTTTTCCAACTCTTTGAACACTTTCTGTTTTATTCAGAAGCAAAGTGTTTGTTTTTCCTCAAGATTTGAGACTGACAAGGAAATCTCCCATCGCTGCTGTTAACACATCTGGTGCACTCAGGCCATGATTAAATTCACAAGGCTTGCTCTCGGATACAAACATTTAAAAAAAGGGAGAGAAAAGCAGACAGCTGCAGTGGAAAAACACATCAGACAAATTAAATTGGAAGTGTCAACAGGCGACTCTGAGTTAGGGCCGACACCGACATAGACTTGAGAAATACAGAGATTGTCCGTGACCAACACGATCCAGTTGCAAGTATTGACCTCCGAGCACGTCGATAACCGTTTAGCCTGAGAATTACATGAAGCCAATCAACATCGCCGGCCCAGACATCCACCCACACAATCACAGCCGTAATAAGGGAATGAACAAGCCTTAAAAAGTTGATACAAGAAAGAGAAGGGAGAACAAAAGCCACAAAAGAACTGAGGTTTTTTTATAATTTCCTACCAACCCAGTTTTAAAGGAGCTGCCAGGTTGATACCTTGGTGGTGGATTGCTGAGAATGCACTAAGGGAACACATTTCTTTCCTTAATCAATAATGTATTATTTTCAATACGGGCACGTTATGCATTATTCAACAAAGGCAGAGTTATGTATGGAAGGGACTAACGCAAAGAGATACTGCAACATTTATCTAATTAACAAGGAAGGATGAAAGACAGATTGGAGGGTATGGTTGAGGGACGAAACAGGGAGAAGGAAGTAACGACACGAGGCATAAGTACCGTAATGTTCGGACTATAAGGCGCACCTGAATATAAGCCGCAGCAGCTAAATTGAATGATGTGTACATATATAAGCCGCACTGGACTATAAGCCGCAGGTGTTTTAATGTTTAATTACCATATGTAAGGGTTCGTGCTCAGAGGGGATTGTCGGGAAAGAGATGGCTGTTTGAGGAAGCTCCCATTTATTAACATTTCAACAAACAAGTTGCATATTTGCATAACGTATTCAAGTGTTAGCATTTAGTGCAATAGTAGCTACAGAACATGTGCTGTGTAAACTGTACTGTATCACATAGCGTTTCAGACACACAAACTTTTCAACTTTCAAACTTAAACGGTGCGCTCCCAGCGCACGTACCGGCAGTGATCTACAGCAGTGGTTTTCAACCAGTGGTACGGGGACAAACTGTCTCGCTCTCGTAATGTCTGTCTGTCTTGCTCTCGTTCTGTCTCTCGTACCACTCTCGGTTCCACTTTTACTTTTGCGCGCTACCTGTCTCACTCTTTTCCGGCCTCCAGCTTTTCCTGCNGCTGTCCCATAGGGATGCCTCCCTCATGGAGCACGGGGGTGATGAGTTCAGCCAGGTAGAGCCAGATGTGAGGTATATCTATGGCCATGTCTTCAGCAATCTCCAGGGTCTCTTCTAACCTGCAGTCCCCAAAACAACACAGCATTTAGTCTCACTTCAAACACACATTCTCATCGGTCAAAGAGTAAGTATCAGAATCTTTTTCCATGCTCACCCTTTGTAGTACTGCTCCGTGGGCAGTGCGCCGGCCTTTATGAGTTGCTGCAGCAACATGCCCATGTGCTGTCGAGCGATGGTGCTGCGCTCCAGCGTCGACTCCACGCCGCTCCGCACGAACACGTAGAGCAGCGAGGAACAGCCGAGTTCAGTCACGCACTGCAACGCCTCCTGCAGCAGCAAAGCAAGACACAAGAGGTTGGCCATTGGAAGCGGTTTGAACACCAAGCATTGGCTGATTGTAAGGGCACATTGAGGACAAATCCATTTCGGTGCATGCCAGTTCGCACGGCCTCATGTTCGTACCTTCAAGTCATTAATGTGGAGGTATTCTTCGATGATGGCGTTCGACTTCTTCTGCAACGCATCTTCACTCAAGGCAGGTTTTGAAATAGTAGGAGGAGGAGTGGGTGCGCTCTCACGCTTAACTGCAGAGATAAAAGAAACAGTAAGGGTTAAATATTATTCCAATCATTGTTTATGCAGCTATCCCTAAAGGACGTCTATCATATCTATTTCAAATCTTCACTTTTGCTCACTGGGTTGTTCACCTGGGAGCTCTTTGCTTGGGGCCCGGTCTTCACTTCCTCGATCCCGACTGCCTCGATCCCGACTGCCTCGATCCCGACTGCCGCGATCCCGACTACCCCGATCCCGACTGCCGCGATCCCGACTACCTCGATCCCGACTGCCGCGATCCTGACTACCCCGATCCCGACTGCCGCGATCCTGACTGCCCCGATCCCGACTGCCGCGATCCTGACTGCCCCGATCCCGACTTCCTCGGTCCCGGTCGTCAGTCATGCTGGCGACGCGCCGCACCGCCTCAGTGGCCGCCCGCAGGTCTCCGGTCCTCCCGCCGCGCTCCTGAGACTCTCTGCTGAAGCTCCTCTTGCTGATTTGGTTGCGACTGCTGCTGTCGTCACGACCCCCCCGTCCCTCGCTGTGATCCGATCGTTCAAAGCGATCCCCGCCACGCTCACGGCTCGAGCTTGACCTAAAAAGGTTGAAAGTGCCACAAACAGGTCAACATTACTCATGAAGTGTTCAGAAACTCTCTGAATAAACAATGACAGTTACTCTGATAGAAAGTGAAGGGTCTAAAAAAGACAAAAGAAAAAAGTACAGCTCGTTTGATGAGACAATATCTGCAGCAGTTAATACCTCTGAGGAGCTCTGCGATCAGAGTCCGTGGCAGACGGCGCGGTGCCAGACTGCTGCAGCGCTGAGAAGCGGTTGACGGTGCTGGTAGATTGACGACCAGGCTCTAAAAGTGTTAAATGACAGATTAACACTCAGCCACTTCAAAAAAAGCCTGAAACCACCCTGTCTTTTTAAAGTAGGTGTATTACCCGGCTCTCCGATGGCTGGTTTGGCTCCGGTTCCTCCACTGCTGCCTTTGCCCCAGCTGCCCCACGTGCCTTTCCCCCCTGGAGCCAGCAGCTGATTGTTGAAGTCCAGAGAACCAGGCTGAAGGTCAAAGCAACATTTCAATTAACAAACCATTCAAATGCTAGTCTTAAAAGACCAGGTTTATCTGAACACAGCCTCATTCAAAAAGGTTGTAATTGAGAAAAATAACTGTAAAAAGAATCGGGGCAATTTCTTACGCTGCATTCAAAAAACACTCGAGGCCTCAAACACTATGTTGGAATTACTGACAGGTGACAAGGCGTTGAGTTCAAGTGAAAACCTGAAACGGGGATTTCAGAGACGAACGTTTTATGACAAATACCTTAAAAAGGTTTATTTTGTTAAAGAAAACTAAGAATAAAGATGCTTGTTGACCTCGACTAAAACGAGGCGATGACGAGTTGGCACTGACGTCAAAACTGTAACAATATTGAAATGTCTTATGGTAAAAAAAACAAGTGACTTAATTGTAGTTTAGAAAATAAAATCAAGCAAAATCCTTATTTCATTGGACAAGAATAAAGGAGACAAAGCAGAAGCTTCATGGCCTTTGCTGTGTCGCCATTTCAGGTCGCTCATATCAGTCAGCATGACTCAGAGTAAATGAGTTAAAGCTACAGGGCAATGACACGGCGTGGGAGAAAGAAATGACGCAATATTTTGACTAGACTTACTTGACATTATAATATAAAAAAACGAAAAAGGAGTCAAATGTCAACCATTTTGACTTCAACTTCACAAATAAAACCAAGATATGATCAAAACAAGGATATTTGACACAAGACTGACTACAAAAATGCAAACTAACACCTGGACGTTACCTTGGTGATCTTGCTGAGGCGGCTGGTGTCGATGGGTCTGTTCTTGGAGATGGGCACCGTGTTCCAGCCCTCGTCCTGAGGCTGGCTGGTCCCGCGGCCCGCCTGTGGGTGAGAGCCTCGGCCCCCCATGTTCCCTCCCATGTCCCTTCTGCCTCCACCGCCTCCCCTCCTCCTCCTCTGGACATAATCTGCTGGACTTTCATCATTTCCTTTTGCTCCTCCAGCTCTGCCTCCTTGTGGATCTGGTCGATGGTTTTCGGCCCCTGGTCTCCTCTACGCGGCACCCAGTTACTCTGTAGACGTTATAAAAAAGTCCCATCATTTTCGGACATTCATAGTTATAATGAGACTCACGGGCCCGTCTACACTACAAGCATCAAAAAATCTTGAAGCTGGGCGTGTCTGAAGCTTGACGATTTTTTGCGAGCAACGCGACCAACAACCAAT